AGTGGGTACCAGATTAGAGCCAACTGTAGTCCATGTACACGTTACTTACGAACAGAAACAGACGAATTAACTAATTAAATTGCTTCCACGGCATGAGATTATTTGGCCCCACAAACAAGCTATCGTCTGTTCATCACTTTTATATTAAAAAAAACACTCGTAGAGCTAGCTGAGTTCACGAGCTCCGTTGTAGAAATGACAAAGACGTCTTATAATTTGAATACGAGAAAAGTATTTTTTATATATATTTCTAAGACCGGTTGACTTTTAAAAGAAAATTAGATGTGCACTTTTTTATACATCTAGGCAACAACTAAGTGATCCAAATATAACCATCACTTGATTTTTTTTTTGCCCTTAGATACAAAATGGAGGGACAAGATTAAATCTCTCTTCACCTTATCTTCTTCCCTTTTCTTCCTTCGTGCGCCCGCACCTGACCCCGACGGGCCACTCTCCCCCGCTGTTGCCTCTACCTCCCTGCCCGACTCCGACTACTCCCCCATCGTCGGATCCGCTATCGTCCACCATGGCTCGGTCCTAAAGTTCATCAGATTTTGTGCCTCCTCCTCGCCATCTTCTTCATCTCCAATCGAGCTCCCCTGCCGCCTACTACCGGCGCCACGCTAACCCGGTGGAGGTCATTGGGATATATCTACCCGTGCCCCGCCCCCACCCTTGCCCCATCCAACTGTCTTCCCCACTACCTGATAGGTGGCGCCACCGCCGCTTCGCCCCACGCCGCCCTCACTCTCCGCCACCACTATATGGGGGTGCCCTTGTCCCGCAGCAATCCTTCTAAACCCACTAGATTCATCACGTAAGCCCCCGCTCGACCCTGAACCTTAATTCTAACCTTGTCGAAGTTGAGGAAAAAGACCATGTGACATTCTTAGGTTGGGTATAAAAAATCGAGTGAGAAGAGAACTTAAATAACTTTCTGAAAATACGCGTACACGTCCACCACCAGTTTAATTGTGCAGCTATAAACGGACTGCGTAATAGTCGTCTGCCAAGGCCATTTGTGGCTTATTATGTACGGACAAGCATGTAGCACGTAGGGCAGGGGTGGCTTACCTAGCAGCTAGCAGAGCACATGCATGCGGATGGATGGAGCAGCTGGAGGCACTGAGCGCAGGCCGGCCGGGCGGATTGGATCTAAGGATGGAATTAGCTGCGTGGGAGGTTGGTGACGACGCCGATGCAGCCCCAACTCCGCCAACCACCGGCCGGCCGGCCGGCCGGTCCCTCTCTCGTCTCGCCCAGCGTACGCAGCACGTGCAAGTAATGGCGCCTAGCTACCATTCATCATACAGAGTTTTTATTTTTATTTTTATAAGGCATCACCGAGGCTAACCTCGTACGTACCCTGCAGCTACTATCATTACAGGATCGAGACTCGAGTAGGCTACTGACGTTCTGCGATGCATGCATGCAGCGAGCTGAGCAAGGAGACATGCATGCATAGTGATGGAGGTAGCTAGAGCTATGCTAGCTAGGCCGCCGCCGGCTGTTGCAGAATGCAGACCGACCGGACGATCCGAGCGGCTCGTCGTCGTACGGGTTTGGTTGGCCGGGGCGCGGCGCTGCTATGTATGTTACTGTACGTTGGTTCGGTGAGCATGGCGGCCTGCCTGCCTGCTTCTTTAATTTCTCTCATGTAGGAGTCCGCATGGTCGGTGCATCTCGGCTGTGTGCACAACAGCCAACGTGCTCCTGGTCTCGGCCCCCTGGATCACATGCGTGCATGCATGTCTGCTTCGGCTTCACCCATGGAATCTCCTTGACGTGACGTAGCGGTATTAATTAGCTTATTGCTAACAAAATGTCAGGGACGAAGATTTGGTAATTAGTGTCCAATTACAAGCTAATTAGCAGAAGAAAAGACAAGAGAACTGTAATTAGTTTTATTTTTATTTTGTTGCTCGAGAGTTGAGACGGAAATCTTGAAAAATTTTGCAAAATTTTGAGAACTAAACAGGCACACAGTAGACGTAGCGGTATTAATTAGCTTATTGCTAACAAAATGTCAGGGACGAAGAGGATACTCCGTACAAGCTAGCAGAAGAAAAGACAAGAGAACTAAATTACTCTGTTGTTGCTCAAGAGTCGAGACAGTGTTCAATTATATGATTAATTGCGGTGCTAAAATAGTTGAAGTCGTAATTTTCCAGGAGATCGTAATTAGTTTTTTTTAGACATTTAATCAGTCATAAAATTGTATCGTAAAGATTCGCATGTGAGTTATTGTAATATTTTTGGGATTTAAATTGGGAGATAAAGAGAAGAGAAGACAAGAGTGAAATTTAGGAAGCCTAATTACGGTAGTATCAACATATGTTTATTTAGCACCATTATTGTCAAATCATGGACTAATTAGGCTTCAAAACGATTCATCTCGCAATTTCCAATCAAACTATGCAATTAGTTTTTTAATTACATTTAATATTTAATACACCATCGCAAGATTCAAATGTAAACATTCTTAGACAACTTTTTAAAATTTAAGAAGCCAACCAAACACCCCCTAGCTTAGCTTGTCATGTGACGAGAGACAGAGACCGAGTATTGAGTTGTAGGAGTAGCAGTAGTCGTCACAGGCTGCATGCATGGTGATGACTGATCATCCGTCGTCACGGGACGGGACGATCATGAAGTGCTGCTCCAATGCACCCTGCACGAGAGGGATGAGACTGAGACCGAGAGAATCCAAGCCTGGCTAGCTAGCTAGCTGCTCCTAGCTAGGAGTAGACGCATCACGCATGGCTTGGTTCTTGTCCGATCCGGCCGCGTTGGGGCGCGACAGCCTGCAAAGTTGCACTAGTGCACTGCAGTGCATGCATCCAGTGGCGTGGCATCCTCCTCAGCGGAGAGGTTGCAGAGTTGCATGCTCTCAGTCACATGCATGCATGCTCGCTGTCGCTGCTCACTGTCTGCGGCTCCGGAGCAGCGTCCCAGCGTACCCGGTACCCGGCCGGCCCTTCCGTGAAACTATGTGCCGGAAGAAGAAATACAGGTCGATCCAGGGGTCCAGCTCATGTCATTTCCCCTCCCTCTCTGTAGGCATCAGAAATTCAGAATTCATCAGCCTTTTCCTCTCAGTGAGACTGAGGGACCTCAGTGCCTCCATTATCTATCTCCAGGTCTGCAACTCCATCCAACACTAACGATGAGACACAAGGAAATTGCCGCTAGTGTAGTGTCCTGCGACAGATCCTAATTAAGCTCGAGTTCTTGGATGTTGCTGCATCTACATTGATCTTGATGGGGGGAGGGATCCAATCCAACAAGGGGAATAAGTTGGTTGACTTGCCTTCTCCACTAATTGCTTAGTAGTGCATTTGACAACTCCAAATCTGCGATAAATTAGCTTGTCTATAAAAAGCGATGAGTTTTTTTTAGCAACATACAAAGCGATGAGTAGACAGTGGACTTTGGAATGGATTTTTATGGATCGTTTTCCGCCTTGCATGGACACAGACACAGGTCGATGGTGGTGGTCTCTTCTATTGTTTGGGCTGGCCCAATGCCTTGCCTATCAGTCAGAGTCGGCATTTGGGCCAAAAAAAAATGATGGGCCGCATGCACTTAGGTTGTTTCCTCTCCAGTATCCGCGACTGCATTCTACTCCACAAACTCCTCCACCGTGGAGCAGCTCCATAAAAAATTAGAGTCTATGAAGTACCTTTTTAGATGCTCTTATAACTTCACCATTTTTCTCGAATAGAGTGCGTGAAGCTGAAATTGTTTGGCTGAAAAACATGGAGCGAAGTTAAAAAACATAGAGCGGAGCAGCCCCAAACACCGCTTAGGCTGTCCTTGTCAGAGATTTCTTTTCATTTGTTTTGCTGCATGAGAAGAAGTAGGCGCCAGTACTGCCTTCAGTTCTAACAAAAGGGAGTGTATAGTTTGTGGGACATAGTCCAGGTACCCTGCAAGGAAGGGAGAAGATCTAGTTCGATAAATTTCCCATATGTAATCCTAGTAACATTGCTATCTCGTAATCCTATTAGGACTCTTACATTATAACCGACTAGAAGATTTTTACCTCCTGGACTATGTAAAGGAGGGTAAGGCTCCCTAGATCGGCAAAGAAACAGACCTAACGGTCTAAACCCCAAGCGCATGGCGCAATATACGTAGGACGCTATTTCGGCGGACTGAACCAGTATAAATTGTTGTTGTCTTTGCGCTCATCATCGAATTCTGCATACGCCGAAGCCCACCAACCATCGTCTTGGGTAACCCTGTGACGAGTTGCGATCCTCAAACACCGACACAGATATATAAAAAAAGAGCGTGTGCTCCTCGGTTTCTAAAATGTCAAACAATTTCAAAAATGCTAACATTTTAAAATATCAATTAAGTATCATTAGATTCGTTATGAAATGTTGATATTATATATATTTTATAGATCTAGTCAAATTTAAAATTACTTAACTTCTTATAAAAACAAAAAATGCTTTTTTTAATGGGCGGGACGATATTATACTTGGATATTATTACTAGTCAAACCACACGATAAGTTTCGTTGTACATACACATAAACGACAGAGATACATCGATCGTCACGTGACACAGGAGCGCAATACATGCATGCCTCGGGCCGAATAATGTTCATCACATGACACAGACCGACGAGCGACGACATAGACTGATCTTCCACCTTATTAGGCACAAACACACCGTACATACATACGGACGTACGTGTCAGGTACCTCGAGAGGCGGTCGATCCCGTGTACGTGTCGCGTCAGGTCCTTGTACACACATATATACGTATATACGCACGAGGACACAACATATATACGACGGACCATGCATGGCGCGATGGTTTATTTATACGACGACGACGGCGACGACAACGACGTGATGGATGAGCTAGGATGGGCGGCGGTCTGCTTCACTTGCCGCAGCCGCAGCTGGTGCTGCACTTGCAGCCGTCGTGCTCCGCCACGGTCACCTCCTCCTCAACGATCTCCACGCGGCTCTCGGTGTTAACTACGACGGCGCCATAGCTGTCGCCCTTCTTCCTGCACATAATTTAACAATAATCAGTGGTAAACCTTTATTTTAGCATGATATATGATGAGCACATCAACCCATATATGCCATGGTCATGGATGCATCCCGTCCAAGTTAGCAAAAGATGATTGATCGGTCTAGGTCGGAATTAAATAGTAAGTATTTATTTTAATTAACAGGAAGCTAAAGGTAGAGTAATTAGCTTCTAGTGTTTACTATATGTGTGTATGCAGAGATGCAGATGGATCAGGAACTGCCTGTTTGGCTGATCCAGTTGTGGCTGATTTCGAGTGATTCAATAGTGTTCTGTGAGAGAGAATAAGCTGAAACAAGTTGGAATGTGACCAACCGAACACGCTTTAGTTTTCCAAACGTGCCGGCACGGCACGGCACGCGCACGGCTGATGAACCGTGTCGTGCCACCGTGCCCGACTCTAGGCCCAGGCACGGCACTATCATTCCTGGAGCGTGCCGTGTCGTGCCATGCCGACTCTAGGCTCAGCGTGCCCGTGCCGGCCTAGGCACTAAACTGGCAAAACCCCTCAATGAACTCAGCACAGCGTTGGCATCAGCCACGTCCCTCTGGCCACCGTCGGCATCAGCCACGTCGACTGGGGGGTCGGAGTCGTCGACGGGAAGGGGATCAGCAGCAGAACGGCCGAAGAGCAAGGCAGTGTCCTCGCGGACATCATCATCCTCATCATCTCCGGCCATCCCGCACATACGCAGCTCGTCGTTCTGGGAGTGGTCAAACTCCCCATCGTCGTGTCGCCCGACGCCTGGGGCCATCTCTGCGGTCTCTGGTTCCTCGACGGCTGCCACAATCAACAGATAAAAGCAGGGTTAGGTTAGGGATTAGGGTTTGGGTTAGGGTTAGGGTTAGGGTTAGGGTTTACCCTTACCTCTATGGCCGGAGCCCCGTAAACGACGACGATGAGACGGACCGATTGCACACCCTCGGTACCTCAACGGAGACCGGAGCCCTGGAGGTGGCGGCAGCCAGCGATGTGGACGACGGACAGATGACGGAGATGCGGCGAGGATGCCGAGAACGAGGCTCAATCAATGTTCAGGGATGAAGAATAAGGGAACAGATGGAGATTGAGGGCGGGAACCACCGGATCTAAGGGAGAAGAGGGAGATTGAGGGCGGAGAGGGAGAAGAGGGAACCACCGGCCACCGGAACTGACCCCTTACCCGCCGGAAGACTCCATGGTGACGGCGTCGAGGAGCCCAAGTTACGAGTGCGGCGAGCAGGCGAGGAGCTAGGGTTACGAGTGCGGCGAGGAGCGAGCGAGCGACAGAGTGAGCGGGGAGAGCCAAAGAGGAGAGGGCGAGAGGCTAGGGTTACGAGTGAGGAGAGTGGGGAGAGCGGCCGCATCGGGCGGCTTATATACCAGACCCCCCGGCCGCCCGACAATCCAACGGCTCACGCCCCGCCTTTGCGATCCGACGGCTGCGAGCCGTGCCTGCCCCATGCCGCCCGTTGGAACAGGCTGTGCCTAGGGCGGCACTACGGTCCGACCTTTTGGCCCAGGCATGGGCACGGCTACGGGCCGGGCCAAGCACGGGCACAGGCAAGGCCGGGCCGTACCAGGCTAGGGCTGTGCTTTTTCGCACCGGGCCCGTGCTAGCCCATTTCGCGCACGGCCCATTTGGAAATTTATATCAGGAACCGTAGGCATGCATGCATAGCAGCCGAGGATAGCTAGCTACTCCGTACTACTTACGTGCACTGGGTCTTGTCAGCGCAGTCGCAGTTGCCGCACGTGCCCGACATGCCAGAAGCTGGAGATATATAGAGAGGGTCTTGGTACGGTCGAGCTTAGTTGCGCAAGGCCTTCTTGTTTCTTGGTGCTGCTGTGGTGAGGAGCCATGGCCGCTGCTCGCCGCGGGTATATATAGCCGGGAAGACGCGAAGAGGAGCACTAGCTAGGCGGAGGCGGGCGACTGGCGAGGGCAAGAATCAAGATGCCAAGGTCCGAGCAGTCGCGCGGGTGTGGAAGCGGAACGATATGATTCGGCCGCGGCGTGCACGTCTCCTGCTCCGCCTCCGCGGGGGCCAGTCGAGGCGAGCCCAAGGGTAGGAACCCATCACACGCACACACACCGACGCCGGCTCTGGATGCGAGACGAGCCGCCGCCGACGACGCGTCGATGCGTTCGTCCACCATACTCGCCACACGCCAGTATACGCCACACCACACGATGCTGCACGCTTCGTCTCTTGGCATTATGTGCACTATCGCTTGTACCGTGACTTCAGCTTGTACTGTGACTATCAGCTCTACAGGTACGGGTCGCTTCTCTTATAATTCGTCTTTTTCAGCTTGTTTTTTCAGTCGAAACAGTGTTTTTCTCTCACAACAAATCAGCCAGAACAGTGTTTCAGTTTGTTTTTTCAGCGAAAACGAACGGAGCCTATATTTCCGGACGATAGAGGCTTGAACCTTCGTTCTATTACCTAAAAAAAATCCTTTTTTTTTCTTTCAATCTTAATAAAGTTCATAGGGGAATACCACTCCTGTTTGCTTAAAAAAACTAACATAGTCTATAATAACACCTTTCCCCCTAAAAAACAAATAACTCTCCCTTTTTTATTTGAAATAATATATTGGCACAGATAGATATATACAATCAAAAGTATACATCGGAGATGGCGTTGGTGCCGACCTATATTTCGGACTGGAGGAAGAAGAGCTCTTTCAGACATGCTAATTTACAGGTGTCTGAAAATTATAATCTCTCAGGCGATGGTTTACAGCCGTTGAATTTTGATTGAATGACTGGATTTCGTCGCCATCGACCTCCAGTGTAGATGCTGTTTTGCGTCGCCCATGGACTTTTCTCGCGGGCCACCCGTACCATGGACTTGCACGCATGCGCCCCCTGATGCGTTGAGTGGCCGCGGCCAGTGCACAAGCACCGTCGCCTGAACGGACTAAATAATCACGAGTCTGATGGATAGGAATTGTGGAAAAAATAAGCTTGTGAATTTTGCAGCCAGAGTGCAGTATTCCTAGGCTTAGTTACTAGGCGATCCGTGCTATCTATTGGCATATACTGTCCACTCTAGTTTTTTACTACTTTTTTTTCTCATTTTTTAATATAATCTATAGCTTTGTTAAAAAAAAGGTAAGATCTATTTTTGACCCTCAAACTTGCGCGGTAATTTGATTTTCAATCTTGAAACTATGAAACTAGGTGACAAGTGACATACACCTTCCAACTATCGAAACTTGACAAATTTGGTCATCTAGTTGGTTTTAAACATGGTTTTCTATTTTGTTAAATAATAGAAATCTGGTTTGGTCTCTCAAAATTCGTATTTAATTTATTTTAACTCATAAAAATACGAAACTAGTTCCAATTCTCTTCTAAACTGTCATCTATGTGTTATGATGCTAATGTTTACCGTTATTCGGACCTTACTTTTTTAAATAAATATTGAGAGCAACCACGAGCAATAAAGCTATAGAAACAAGAACAGACCAATTCTAGATGCCTATATATGGATCACAAACAAGTAGAGAATATATTGTTCTAAAAATAGTACTACTTTATATTTTGCTAGTTTAAAATAAATTATATATGAATTTTTGATAGTAGATCAGAGTTTGTTTTTTTACAAAATAGAAAACCACCTTTTAAATCAACATTAGTACCAGATTTGTCTGGTTTTAATAATTGAAGCGTGTTTGTTTACCGATTTTATAGTTTAAGGTTGGAAATTAGGCTACCACGCAAGTTTGAGGGTGAAAAATAGATTTTATCTAAAAAACGGCTTGACATAGCTGCAGGTAGGGAAATATATATAGTTCCATGCTTCTAGCTTCGTCTCCAGGACCATTCTTATATATATTGTTTCACTAATGCTTGGCCATAGATGTCCGCTCCCATATGGACGGTGTCTTCCTAGGCCTGCGCAGCGGATAGGCCCAACAGACATGCTCTTTCCCACTCGCACATTTGGCTATCGGGGCATCACCGCGCATCCAGCTACCGCACTCCGCGCCTGCGTGCGCCCCTTCACCCACCGCGCGCCCGTCCCCTGCGCACGGCGTGCCCTTCCCCCTGTCGCGCCGCACCCCATGGCCGGTCACACCGCGCCACCATCCCGTGCCTCGCCCTTATCCCCCGGCGTGCCCCCATCCACCTCGCCCGTCGTGACCATGGCGGGCACCACGCCACCACCAGGAGGAGGTTGCCGCCTGTGTCCAGACTTCGTCTCCCACGACCGGCCGAAGGCACCGCGGCAGGAAGGGGAGGCCTGCACACGCTGGGTTGTTTGCTCTTGACGTCCCCCTGAATCCGAGCTTGCTGGCTACCGCAGTCCCCCACCAGGTAGGCCATGGCCACCTTTTGTGCCACCGTGTTTCAAGTGTTTCATGCGTTTTAGACTCATATTTTAAGTGTTTCATCTGAATGTTGCAAAAGTCGATCTGAGATGTTGTATATGTTGGCAATATACACATGTTGCATGCCTATGTTTCAAGTGTTTTCAGACGTTTCAGACTTATGTTTCAAGTGTTTTATCTGAATGTTGCAAAAGTCGATCTAAGATGTTGCATATGTTGCAATGACAATATACATATATTGCAAGCTTATGTTTTAAGTGTTTCAGGTGTTTAGACATTTGTTTATAATGTTTTATCTTGATGTTTCAAAAGTTGATCTGGTGTTGCACATATTGCAATGGCTATAGGCGCATGTTTCAAGTGTTTCATCTGTTTTCAGACATATGTTACAAATGTTTCATCTGAATATTTCAAAAATAGATCTTGTGTTGTAGACCGTTGTCCGCCTACTGCTGCTGGTGCGCTGCCGTGGTTCACGTGCCGCCGCCTGAGGCCTGCAGACGCGTCTCCGCGGCGCGCATCCGCAAGCGGAGCAGGTGGGTGTGGGTCGTGGTTCCGCTGTGCGGGCGCCGGACGTGGGATGGGCGCGGGGCGCAGTTCCACAATACGGACATAGGATGGACGTGGGCCATGGTTCCAAACGCTGGCGCTGGTTGGGAACGGGAGGAGCAGATAAGACACGATGCGGGCATGGGGACGCGGGAGCTGTGTCCTGACGCGGGTCTTAGACCGGATGTCCGGGCGCTAGTGTTGTTTGTTGTGAAGCCATCTTCGGGGCTTATTTGCTTAGCAAACTGGCAGAGGTGCCTCGTTCAGGCAACAAATTCAGACGATCGATTTCGTTGACCTGGAGTCTGGATTGCTGCGTGGTCAACCGTCAAGTCACCATCCAAACACTCGCTCTCCTCTCGGCGTCTGCAAGCCTGTGCTTGTCGAGAGCTGCAGCGAGCGAATGGTGTTCGGCTGTTCGCAGTAAATTGAGAACCAACTCTTATGTCGGCCCTAACCTCTCTCGCGCGTTCGATCTTCGATCTGACCTATCTACGTTGCTGTCCTCTCTGAAGATTTTACGGGTAGCCCAATAATCCCAGCAGCAGTCTTTCCCGTGCGTCCATTGGAATTGGAACGGAATGGGTCGCCGTCGCCTCCCGTCCATTTCCACAATTCCACACCACTACGCCGGGGATCGGAATATATAAAAGAGCCAGCACCACCATCAGTGAAGATGACAATCGCCAAATAAACAGCTAGCAGCCGAATTTACAAGATGCCCTTGTCTGGGTCGTCTCGGCTCCTTTTTTTTTCCTTTGGAATTCATTCCTTCTCACCAAAAAAAGTAGCCTACTAGCTTCCGGATGAAGCATCATATATAATCCCTCCTTCCAAATGTAGGTGGTTTAAGACAGTAATAATAATGATGATGACACTAAC